ATTATCCTTTAATTTTCCTGAATCTAATCATCTTTTCTATGGACCTTACCGTTCTCAAACCAAAAGATCAATAACTGGTTTTTATATTTTCTTGGGTTCTTCTCTCATCTCATAGAAGACTAAGAAGCAAACTATCATTTCTCGTTCAATGGCTACACCTGAGTACAGGAGTATGGCTTCTAAAGTTTGTGAACTGTAGTAGATCTCATACTTGATGAAAAATTTTGATATTTTTCTTCTTTTTTTCATTGACTTGTACTATGATAATAAGAATATTTTACATATCACAGCAAATCCTGTTTTCCACGATATAACCAAGCATTTGGACATAGATTGTCATTTGGTTCGTCAATAGTCTCAAAGTGGATTCATCAGACCTTAGCACGTCTCTTCCAATCTCTAGTTTGTTGAAATTTTTACTAATTTGCTTTCTGTTTCCTAGTTTTCTTAATTGTTGCCCAAGTTGGGGTTCTTTGGTCTTCATCAACCTCTAACTTGCAGGGGTGATGAAGAGGTTTTTGCTTATGTGATTAGTAATATGGTGTGTATCACTTAATTTGTTGTGTGATGTAAGCAGCAGCTATTATGTTCTATTATGAGTGGTTTCAAATTTTTCATTTTTTCCCTTTTTTTTTTTTCAATTTTCCTCTTCTTTATTTCATGGGCTCTATATAAATAAGGGATTGTAATTGTGAATCAAATGATGATTCATTTTTTTTTTCTATTATCAATAAATTGCATATGCTCTTAACATACCTTATATTTCTTAACTCCGAAAGTTTGTTCAAGTAAGACTTCTTTTTCTTATCTAAATTCTGATTTTAATTCTACATTAAGTTTTGGTGATTGTTCTACTTTGAATATGATGGAAAAATGAGATATTAAGAGTAAAACGAGAATGGTTTTGTAGAGACCATTTCAAATATACTTATGTTCCTAACTTAAAAGGTAACTTATTAAGTGTTGGTCAATTGTAAGAAAAGAGCTATTTAATCACTTTTCAGTAGGGTGTTTAAGATATTTGATCCTTGCAAAGGAGCTATTGATGTTATTCCAATGAGTTAAAATAGTTTATTCATGTTGAAGATTGAATATGATTAATCTTGCTTGTTGACCAAAGTCAAAGACCCTTAATACCGGTGGCATTTTCACTATAAACATTTGAGTTTCGGTGGATTAAAGACCCTCTAATACAAAATATGGTGGCAGGTTTTTCTTAAATTATTATTCATTGCCGAGATTGTGAAGAATGTGTTGTGAGCAAACATCCTTATGAATTTCCTCAGGGAAAGTCATGGAAAGTAAAAATAGTTTTAGAATTGGTTTATTCTGACATTTATTGGCTAATAAACTCATATTCTAATCAATGTAAAAGATACTTAGTGACTTTTCATTGAAGATCATATATGCAAGACTTGGGTTTATTTTTTACAACAGAAAACGAAAGCTTTAAGTGCATTTAAAATCTCTAAAACACATGTTGAATTGAAACTTAAAAGACCTTTAAAACCCTCTAAACTGATAATGGTGAAGAATATTCCTTAAATTTTTTTTTTTAATCTTTGTAAAGCTCATGGTATATAGAGAAAGCTTATGGAGGCTTATAAACCACAACAAAATGTATATTAGAGAGAAAAAATAGAACCATTCATAATATAGTGAAAAACTTGCTTGCAAGAGGAGTTCCAAAGAATTTTTTGTCCGAGTAGTAAATTAGAGTTCATGTCTTAAAAAATGTCCTATATTTGCTGTTTAAAACATGACACCACAAGAGGCTTGAAGCAAGAGAACCAGTTATAAATCACTTCATAATGTTTGGTTGTATCACCTGTGACGATGTCCCAGATGAGAAAATAAAAAAGTTTGATGATAACGGTGAAAAATGTATCTTTCTTGGTGTTCGTGAAACATCCAAAGCATATAAATTATTTAATCCACTTAAAAATGTATCTTTCTTGGTGTACATGTCAACATACACAAATGACATTATCGAAACATAAGAAAAATATAAAATTTGTCTCTTTTTTAAAATACAAGAAGAATTTAAAAAAAGATATTATGCAACGAATTTTGAACAATTTTATATACTACTGAGAATTTTGGTATTTTAGGGGATTTTTAAACGTTTCTACCATAAGCCCGAAGAAACTGACAGACCGTAGTCAAGAGAAAAGAAGGGTACTTTATTTCCCTCTACCTTTCCCTCCATTCACCTCTGTCAAACGTATCCTAAGCTACAGCATTTCATGCGTCGATGGCGAGCCGATGACAGAGAAATCCAAGTTCCCCAAACTTACGGGCGGGCCCCGGTGACAAAAACCTCTCTTTGGGTTTATTCCCCCACTTAATCTGAAAATTTAAAATTGGCTGTTTATAAAATTGGAGTTTAAAGAGAGGGAAACGAAATGCCGGTAGCGAGACCAGAATCAGCAGATGCGAGGGTAATTGCTCACGTTGACATGGACTGTTTCTACGTTCAAGGTCATCATATCTCCACTATTTTCCATGTTATGTATTTGTTTAAATACGCAATCATATATATATATATATATATATATATATATATATATTACCTCATGCGGATACAAATTTGATGGCTTGTCTGAGATTGTTGAGAATTTGATCATCCTGAAGATGATCTTACTTGCTTGAGAAATTATTTTATTTGGTTAAAGTGTGAGAGAAATTTTTCGGTGTTGGTTTGGTTATTTTTGCATTTGATAAGTGAAGTACTACAATTTGAACCGGGGAAAACCTAAAAAAATTGATTATAAGAAACAGAGCAGCTCAAAATTTGAGGAGTAAAACATCATTCAATTGCATTATCCGGATTAAAAGCAAACTAAGAGATTTATGGCTTTACAAATTTGATTTTTTTTTAGGAATCAAAATTAAGAGTTTCTCAACGTTACTGAAGGTCTCAATACTCAGTTCCTTCTGGAAGTTAGTGTTGGAGAAATAATGCTGCTAGCCTGTTGTAGTTTTGTGTTAAATTGTAAATGTGGTTTTCTGCACCTTTGGATGTTGAAAATGGAGGAATCTACCTCAGCTGAACAGTAAACTTTCGGGTTGTCATTAGTTCTGTTGTTGGGTTTTGGGTGGCACTGCAGTTTTTTTCATTAGGCTTTGGGTATGGAAAGATTTCTGATGTTCTTGAATTGCTTCATATATTTAAGCTATTATAGTTGTGAAGATCTCTTGGTTTAGATAACTGATTGGAAGTGGAGATGTGTGGATCCTCATGCATAATCAATTATTTGCATTACTTTTACTTTTGGTAGTGGCAGGGTTTTAGGTTTTAAACATTATGCATCCCCTCTACTAGATGGCAGACACTTCATCTGTCCTCACTGTGTTGTGTACTTTATATTATAGTGGAGCAAAGGAAGCAGCCTGAGTTAAGGGGCTTACCTACCGCTGTAGTACAATATAATGAGTGGAAAGGTGGGGCTTTGATTGCAGTTAGCTATGAGGCACGTAAATATGGTGTAAAACGGTAAGTGCAATATCCAGTTATTATCTAATGATGTCTTTACTTAGTTATGATTGAGCTAATTTTCAATCAATAAATATTAAATGGTTTGCAGTTCAATGAGGGGGGATTGAGCTAATTTTAAATCAATAAATATCAAATGGTTTGCAGTTCAATGAGAGGTGATGAGGCGAAGGAAGTTTGTCCTCAAGTTAATTTAGTCCAAGTCCCTGTAGCCCGTGGTAAAGCTGACTTGAACATATATCGTAATGCAGGTTCAGAGGTATGTGGAATCTGAAGTGCATCCTTACTAATTTTTACCATGTCAATGATCCTCAATTTGAACGTGTATCATGCTAGTTTTTAGTTAAATCCATTTCATTCTCTTTCTCTTGCAGGTGGTTTCCATTCTCGCCAGGAAAGGTCGATGTGAGAGAGCTTCAATTGATGAGGTGTATCTTGATCTTACTGATGCATCTGAAACAATGCTTGCAGAAGCTCCTCCTGAGAGCTTGAAGGTGATAGATGAGGAAGCTCTTAAATCACATATTTTAGGG